TCAAATCCGCAGCATTGCTACTAACATATTTCAACACAGTTTTCTCTAGGAACATAACAAAATAAACATATGAAAGCAACAATGAGAGCTATTGATCTACAACATAATTTGCAAAATACTAACAGGACTAAGTTCATGATAAATTTAAGTTCAATTAATCATATTACTTAAGAACTCCCACTTAGATAGACAAATCTCTAATTATCTAAGTGATCACGTGATCCAAATCAACTAAACCATAACCGATCATCACGTGAAATGGAGTAGTTTTCAATGGTGAACATCACTATGTTGATCATATCTACTATATGATTCACGCTTGACCTTTTGGTCTCAGTGTTCCGAGGCCATATCTGCATATGCTAGGCTCGTCAAGTTTAACCTGAGTATTCTGCGTGTGCAAAACTGGCTTGCACCCGTTGTAGATGGACGTAGAGCTTATCACACCCGATCATCACGTGGTGTCAGGGCATGACAAACTTTTGCAATGGTGCATACTCAGGGAGAACACTTTTATCTTGAAATTTAGTGAGAGATCATCTTATAATGCTATCGTCAATCAATGCAAGATAAGATGCATAAAAGATAAACATCACATGCAATCAATATAAGTGATATGATATGGCCATCATCATCTTGTGCTTGTGATATCCATCTCCAAAGCACCGTCATGATCACCATTGTCACCAGTGCGACACCTTGATCTCCATTGTAGCATCGTTGTTGTCTCGCCAACTATTTATTCTACGACTATTGCTACCGCTTAGTGATAAAGTAAAGCAATTACAGGACGATTGCATTGCATACAATAAAGCGACAACCATATGGCTCCTGCCAGTTGCCGATAACTCGGTTAAAAAACATGATCATCTCATACAATAAAATATAGAATCATGCCTTGACCATATCACATCACAACATGCCCTGCAAAAACAAGTTAGATGTCCTCTACTTTGTTGTTGCAGGTTTTACGTGGCTGCTACGGGCTGAGCAAGAACTGTTCTTACCTATGCATCAAAACTGCAACGATAGTTCGTCAAGTTAGTGTTGTTTTAACGTTCTCAAGGACCGGGCGTAGCCACACTCGGTTCAACTAAAGTTGGAGAAACTGACACCCGCCAGCCACCTGTGTGCAAAGCACGTCGGTAGAACTAGTCTCGCGTAAGCGTATGAGTAATGTCGGTCTAGGCCGCTTCATCCAACAATACCGCCGAAGTAAAGTATGACATGCTGGTAAGCAGTATGACTTGTATCGCCCACAACTCACTTGTGTTCTACTCGTGCATATAACATCTACGCATAAAACCTGGCTCGGATGCCACTGTTGGGGAACGTAGTAATTTCAAAAAAAATCCTACGCACACGCAAGATCATGGTGATGCATAGCAATGAGAGGGGAGAGTGTGTCCACGTACCCTCATAGACCGAAAGCGGAAGCGTTAGCACAACGCGGTTGATGTAGTCGTACGTCTTCATGATTCGACCGATCAAGCACCGAACGTACGGCACCTCCAAGTTCTTGCACACGTTCAGCTTGATGACGTCCCTCGAACTCCGATCCAACCGATCTTTGAGGGAGAGTTCCATCAGCACAATGGCGTCGTGACGATGATGATGTTCTACCGATGCAAGGCTTCGCCTAAGCACCGCTATGATATTATCGAGGTGAACAATGGTAGAGGAGGGCACCGCACATGGCTAAGAGATCTCAAGGATCAATTGTTGTGTCTCCAAGGGGTGCCCCCCTCCCCGTATATAAAGGAGTGGAGGAGGGGGAGGGCCAGCCCTCTCTATGGCGCTCCCTAGGAGGAGTCCTACTCCCACCAGGAGTAGGATTCCCCCCCCCCCCTTCCAAGTAGTAGGAGTAGGAGTCAAGGAAAGGGGAGAGAGAAGAGAAGGAAGGAGGGGGCGCAACCCCTCCCCCTAGTCCAATTCGGACTAGGCCTTGGGGGGCGCCCAGCCTCTCCTCTCTCTTTCCCGTAAAGCCCAATAAGGCCCATATACTCCCCGGCGAATTCACGTAACTCTCCGGTACTCTGAAAAATACCCGAATCACTCGGAACCTTTCCGATGTCCGAATATAGTCGTCCAATATATCGATCTTTACATCTCGACCATTTCGAGACTCCTCGTCATGTCCCCGATATCATCTGGGACTCCGAACTACCTTCATACATCAAAACACATAAACTCATAATATAACTGTCATCGAACATTAAGCGTGTAGACCCTACGGGTTCGAGAACAATGTAGACATGACCGAGACACGTCTTCGGTCAATAACCAATAGCGGAACCTGGATGCTCATATTGGCTCCCACATATTCTACGAATATCTTTATTGGTCAAACCACATAACAACATACGTTGTTCCCTTTGTCATCGGTATGTTACTTGCCTGAGATTCGATTGTCGGTATCTCAATACCTAGTTCAATCTCGTTACCGGCAAGTCTCTTTACTCGTTCCGTAATACATCATCCCGCAACTAACTCATTAGTTACAATGCTTGGAAGGCTTATAGTGATGTGCATTACTGAGTGGGCCTAGAGATACCTCTCCGACAATCGGAGTGACAAATCCTAATCTCGAAATACGCCAACCCAACAAGTACCTTCGGAGACACCTGTAGAGCACCTTTATAATCACCCAGTTACATTGTAACGTTTGGTAGCACACAAAGTGTTCCTCCGGTAAATGGGAGTTGCATAATCTCATAGTCATGGGAACATGTAAAAGTCATGAAGAAAGCAATAGCAACATACGAAATGATCAAGTGCCAAGCTAACGGAATGGGTCAAGTCAATCACATCATTCTCCTAATGATGTGATCCCGTTAATCAAATGACAACTCATGTCTATGGTTAGGAAACATAACCATCTTTAATTAACGAGCAAGTCAAGTAGAGGCATACTAGTGACACTATGTTTGTCTATGTATTCACACATGTATCAAGTTTCTGGTTAATACAATTCTAGCATGAATAATAAACATTTATCATGAAATAAGAAAATAAATAATAACATTGTTATTTCCTCTAGGGCATATTTCCTTCAAAGTGTTGGGCAATGATTCCTACTACCTGATCGACGTTCAGAAGCCCAGAGCACGCAAGAGAGACGACTCATGCAAGGAGACAGAGAGGCCGTGGAATGCAAACCTCCTCCAAAGATTTTACAGTTAAATGCAGTATGTACCACACTACCTTTTGTATTAAGTACAAAGATTTCGGGTCCCCCGAGAAGAGCTCGGGGACTACCCTCTTTTATCTATATGATAAGTATAATGCCTATGCATGTGTTATTTCATTATTTCTGCCTACCACCGGGTTCGACTAGTCGGCCCGGGGGCTTGCCGCCTTCTACTATGTGGCGCTTCCTGCAGTCGAACAAGTAGTGTGTTGGCACCTAAACCTTGTCCTGCCAGAAGCCGCAACTCGCAGAGCGACTGTCCCGTGGGCAGGGGTTGCAGAAACGGTGTCCACATGAAAAATGGCTAAGGAATCAAAGCGCACACGTAGTCTAGGCCGGCATCACGCCTCATCGACCGGCTGCTGAGCAGCCGGCCGACCGGCTTCTACTTACCTTGCCAACGCTCCAGTCGGCTAAGTACTTGCCCTCCCGGAAGTAGCAAAGTACTTGACTCAGCCGCAGTCCGCAGAGCGGTTGTTTCGCTGGCAAGAGGGTAGCAAAGGGAGGGCGGCAAAGGAAAAAAACCAAGGAGCAGAAAGCAAGAAAAGTTGGAACTCGGCAAAAAACACAACTTGGTGTTGACATCGATTTCGACCAAGATAAATAAAAAGCATGAACCACATAAAATATGAACACAAAATGGCAAAAATCTGTTTTATAATTAAAAAAATCAATTATATTCAACCGCTCAAATTGGTGACTGAAAAAATAGGTCTACGATCTATTTCCAAATGTCAATAATGCGGATACTGAAAAGGGCCAAGAAATTATAAAATGTATCAAAATAAATAGTCATGAAGTATCGTCCTAAAAATATAGAGAACACATGGCTTGCATACACATATGTTGTCACCGACGGAGAATTCTAATGTCGACATAAAGTCAAATCATCTTAGACGCGGTTGGTATTACTAAAATATTGGATCGCAGAGTAAATTTGGACATTATTCCGGTGATGTGGATGAAATTTCGTACAACATATATAAAAGGAAAAAATGTTCCGTGTGACGACATATAAAAAAATTTCAGAGTGTTATCAAAATAGTGGCGTACAACTTTGATTGAGAAAATATCATTTCATTCATTTTTTTACACCACCTTAAGGAAGTAAGCCTTGATGAGCCATTTCAATTAATCAAGCTTGGTTCATTTAAATAAATTGATCACGTACATGTGCTTGGGTCCATATTAAAAGAAAGGAACAATGGCTACGTACATGCATGCATATCCTATTCCATCAGCCGATTGCATGCAAAGAAATTAGTTCGTGCCTAGAGCCCACACGTTACGTGGTCTAATCTCTACTTCTAATGATGCAGTTGGTAGTCTCGCTTCCAGGTTTTTTTTGTCCCTCTCCCATGGTTTTTTTTGGTACCTCCTCCCACCTTCGCTGGTTTTTTTCATAGATTTTTTTGTCCCCTCCCCCCACTTTATCGGTTTATTTTCGCCTCACCCTCTCACACAACGAAAGAAATCTGAATAGATCAGAACTTTCCATACTAGCGCAACTTATTTAGTAATGTAGAATCAATCACGAAAAATCTCTAAAGATCAAATCTAAATTAATTAACCTTACCTTAAATCAGTCAATCACATTAATTAGAAAACAAATAATTGATTTTCACAAAAATCGCTCAATCACATTAACCTTACCTTAACTCACAGATGGTAATCAATCTCCAAACAAAGGAAACAACACATCGATGGAGCAGTAAATAAACTCCCTTTCTTATTACATGTATATGATCTTCCCTTTCCTCTCCGTTGTCGAGCGTTCTTGATTCTCGAGGCCGATGCTTGGGCCGCGTCACTAGGTCGCGACGGTGCCGGAGGACGAGGACAGCGAGGCCGGGTGCCGCGGCACCGCGTTGGCTGCGGCTGGTGAAGGGGGCGAAGAAGGGCGGCTTCCCTGGCCCTGGCCGTGGCCGTGGCCCTGGGAGTTGGTGCGGTGGAAGCGGCACTTGGAGGACCCGGCGTGGGTGGTCGGCGCGCTGACGCACTTGGAAGCGGGCCCGTGGCCCGCGCTGGATGGCGCCGACGCCGACCCGGGCCACCTCCTCCGCGTATTCTTGGAGCTGTGGCTGGCCGATTTACATGAAATTATTTCCCTCAGTTGTGGTGGCAAAAATACACATAATCCATATTGTTATGCACTAGCGTGTGTGTGTGTGTGTGAAATAGATGGATTATGGTCCCGTACTCGATAAGATGGATGTGTGTGTGTTAGAGAGAGAGGGAGAGGGGGGAGAGAGTGATAAAGTGGGAGGGAGAGAGTGTGTGTATGAGGATTTGATGGTAAAAAAGGTCGCCAATGTCACTTGATATGTATGACAATATTAACATTGAACTCTTAAAGTTAATGTGGCCCCATTGCAACGCACGGGCGTTCTTCTAGTTAAGCCCAGTTGATGGGACATTGCCAGTAATTAGTGATTAAACAAATAGAAAAAGGGAAATGAGCCAGCCACGCTCCCACGATCGTGGACACGATCCCACGATCAGAATGTGGGCAGACGCGCGTTCAGCCGGGCCTCCACTACTTCCCTCCGTCCCTATAAATACCAGGTCGCTCGACTCCTCTAAGGTCGCTCGACTCCTCTAAGGTCGCTCATTTTTTCATCTACACGCCGCCGCTGCTGCTGCTGAGGACCCATCCATCTATCACTCACGCACATACATACGCTGCAACGCCGCTCGCCGTCGTCGCCGCCGGCCGTTCGTCTCGCCGTCGTCGCCGCCGGCCGTTCATCTCGTCGCCGGCTGCTCCTCGTCGTCGTTGTCGTCGCCGTCACCGTCGCGCCGCTCGTTGTTGGCCACACACATCGCCGACTGATCGTCGTCTGCGCCATTCAACGCCGGCTGCTCACCATCTGCATCGCCCACGAGCTGCTCTACACGGGCGGCTGCTCATCTACATCACCACATCACACATACATGACCACATCCAAGGCAAGGTGAGAGTTCAAGGCAAGCTCCTGGCTCCATTCTTGATGTATCCCTGTTGAATCATATGCCTCAAATAGTATGGGTGTTCTACTTTACTTCACATAGCACATCTAGTTTGGTCTCATGGGATCTAGCATCCTTTGTTGATACAAACCATGGTTAAATGATGTTCATCTTGTTTTGGTCTCATGGGATCATGCATCTCATGTTGATACAATTCAAGAATAAAAATGATGTTCCGTCTTGTTTTGGTCTCATGGTCATCTTGCATCCCATGTTGATACAATTCAAGGTCAAAATATAGCCATTGATGATCCTTATCTTTCACCGTACACCTCATATATGTTCGGTGCTACCCAAGTAATTTGTGCTTGATTCGGTCTCATGGCGATCTTGATCCCATACTGATACAAATCAAGATAATGCATGACATGCCTAGTGGTCATATATCACTCCTCAATCCTATAATGATGCAAACTAAGTGCACACAATGCAACTAAAATTCTTCTTGTTTTGGTCTCATGGTGATCTTGCATCTCCATGTTGATACAAGTCAAGACCAAAAATTATGCTCATCTTGTTTTGGTCTCATGGCGATCTTTCATCCCATGTTGATACAACTCAAGAATAAAAATATGTCCATCTTGATTTGGTCTCATGGTGATCTTGCATCCCATGTTGATACAGATCAAGGATAGAAATAGAAATAAAGCTCATATTGATTTGGTTTCATAAGGCCATATTTTGTTGGAAATTCACACATGTTCCTTTCATATAATTTATAGTCTGGCTAGACCCCTAAATGCATCAGTATAGGGTGTAAAGTTGGAGCATGCGTCTACGCTCGGATTTTGTACTAATGAAAACCCATGTGAAACAAAGCCATGACAATTCAATATACATGACTTTGGCTATTCATAGTTTATGGTCATATATCTAGGCTTTGAGAATTGTCATGTCCATGCGAAACATAGACTGATATGCACTTATGTTTGGTTACACCATAAGCATACAATCTATGCTACGTGGTGATAATACAAGCAAGAAGAAGTCCCGACACTTCATTTGGTTATGCTACATATGGGCACGAAGTTGCTATATGATGTTAGTACTAATACAAGTGAAGCAAAAATTTATAAAAGAAATATTCTCATTCAAACCCATATAAATATTTGACTAGATCCGCTTAGTCGCATGCCCATATATGACATGTTTGAGACTAGCAAAGCTAGTATTTAAGCATAAACCATATGTCATAATCTCTCATACGGATTAAAAGTGTACCATGCATAGAAAAGTAACTAGGGTCATAGCCTATGTTACTCGCAATAAACATAATATAGTGCGATCGAGTATGTCATCAACAAGTTTCATATAGTCCTCGCATATAATAGCTCGAGGCAACGCTATATACGTTGCTATAAAGTAAACCCAACTCATAAAAATAGTTATGCCATATATTGCATATATACCGTTAGCCCGGCTAGTTAACCATTAAATAAGACAACTACTACATATTTGTGATGGTTAATGAGCTAGGCATAAACGTGCTACATGAATGAACATTGCCAAATCATGAATGTTGTGCAACGCATAAGTTAGCATAGACAAAGTTCAAGGCTCTCTGAGTATGCCGACGTCGAAGACAGCGAGGAGGATTTTTATTTCTACATTTTGTAGTTTTCTTTTAATTCTACATTTTGTAGTACTCATGTGTTGTGACGCTATGTAATAGATATGTTGGAATTCTTAATCAGGGGTTTTCTCTATGGAGATGTAATTAACAGATCTTTTATGTAAATGTAAGAGTTCTGAAAATAAAGTACCTGCAATGTTTGATCCTATTTTTTATTGTATGCATTTATGTGTTTAAATTTCACTCTGTATCAATGACGTGGACGCGTATTCTCACGCCCGCCATTTTCCCGTCATCAGATTCTGGCACGCCCGGTGGGACATATTTCTCCCCTCATCTTTGAATTCCAACATAGGATTGCAACATATGAATTCCTATAGTACATAAAGCATAAAACATTATGCCCCCATATACAAAAAAAATTCAAAGAAAACTAATATATGGTTTTCTTTATTTTGAAGGTATGGAGGGCCAAGTACAGCAGTTTGTGACCCTTCGCTTCGGTGACCTTTGGCTTAATGTGCCAATTGGTCCTATCGTGACCTCACTAAGTGAAAGTTGGAAGACTACTGCTGCATCTCCAGTTGTACCAGATCTAGAAGAAGTCACTTCTCCACCAATGGAGGGGTTCACACCTGTTTTGTCAAAGTCTACAAAGAGGAAAATGAGGGCTGCTAGAAAGAGGGTTGCTCAGAGTTCTGCAGGAACGGTTACTCATGCTCCAGTGTCAGTAATGAAAGGAAAGATAGTTGAAGCAGAACCATCCGACTGCCAGCAATCCAAGGACAAGGGAAAGAAAGTGGTGTTTGAGAAATCTGAGTTTCCGCCACTTGTTTACAAGGGAAAAGAGAAGATGGTAGAGACACTCAACTCCAAGATACCTGAGAAAAGAGGCGGCGTTGCGGTCATATTGCCGTCAGCATCATCTTCAACAGGAAGGCCTACCAACGGTCAAATTATACTTCGAGCCGATGCTCTTGAGTTTGCCCCCTCACTGGCCCATAAACCTAGTGAGGAACACTTGGGAATAATGCAAAAACGTTCTGTGGAATGGAAGGGAGTGTGCCTTACATCTGGTGACCTCAAAGCAGGCCACATAAATCCAACATCTGCACCATCAGTTGCTCTGTTTGAAGAAGCACCCATCCTACGAGAGTCCTTTAAAGGTTCGTTTGATCCAGTGCGACATCAACGGCGACAGAGAAATGTTCGTCGATCTTGGATTGATCTTCCAGCTGCCGTAGATCAAGAGGCGGCGAGCCGACACCATTCTCATGTGAGCAAGTCCGTCAAGGGGAGGTGGAAAAACACTCGTCCAAAAATCCAAATTCGAAATCCATATGACTCATATGTTGTTAAATGCATATGTCAAGCAATAAGGTCACAGCTTCCCAGTGCATCCACATCACAAAATGATGAGGGTGGCGCCATCATGCGACTGGCAGAGGCCCTGGCCAACGGCCTGAGTACCAAGAATTCATTCAGCAACATCCTGAACATCAAGATTATGTGAACCAAGCTGCTCATGTCCGTTCAAGAAGGGCGGAGTACAAAGAAAGAGAAAGGGCAGTACGGGCAAGGTCTGGGTCAAGCAGAGTCCAAGGGGCAGAGCACGCCCCATCAGATGAGGGCAGTCAGGCTAAAGTGAACAAGTGGCTATCAAATCCATCAAATGAGGTGGCCACGAGCTTGTCTCCATGGCCCTCTCGTAAGAAAACCAAGAATAAATCATTCGAGGTGTTCCAAGCAATGCCAGTTGGTGTCAGGGCGGCATCAGACAAGACCAGCGAAACATCCTCCACATCAATACATTTCAAGAGGAAGAAGGCACGCAAAACTGTCATAGAAGGTCCTCGTCGTAGTACACGAAGCCAAAAGGGTTCAGATTATGAAGAACTTGGGTCTAGCTGTGGTGGGTCTTATAATCCCCTATCGGGCAGTACCCCATGTCCTTCTGAAAATGAGATAAAACTCCACCATGGTGCAGAGCATACAGAACAAGTCCTAGCCGCGAATGAAACTCGTTCGGTTGAGGAGCAATTAGCCAACCTTACGGCAGCGCTTCAGCAAAAGGAAGACGAGCTAGAAGCCCTTCGAATTCAGATGAGCAATAACCAAAACAAAGGAAATGAAGGGGATGGTGGCGCGAGTGCTAGCAGCCAACATGGAGGAGCAGGGCTTAACCTTGAGGCGATCCAAAGAATGATCGCTGAGGGGGTAAAGTCCCAGTTGATGCAAACTCAGTACTCGATGCGGCCAGGGTATGTTAAGCCGTACCCACCCGATGTGGACCTTGTTCCTTTCCCCACAAATTACAGGCACCCGCAGTTTAGTAAGTTCAATGGGAGTGGATCTCCCCATGAGCATATAGCACACTTCCTTGCTGCTTGCCAAGATACAGCCAACAATGGAGCACTTCTCCTTAGGAAGTTTGTACAGACATTGTCTGGTCATGCCTTCACCTGGTACAGCAAGCTACCTCCAAGCTCTATAAAAACGTGGGAACAAATGCAAAACTCATTCCTCGAGCGGTTCTATAGCACGCAGAGGACGGTGGGCATAACTGAGTTGACCCAAACTGAACAAGGGCTCAACGAGAAGGCGGCTGACTTCATAAATAGATGGAGAAACCTAAGTCTTCACTGCCCATAGCCCATCACCAAGCCAGAAGCAGTGAGGATGTGCATGAACAATCTCCGCTCGGAAGTGGTTGTCCAGTTACAAGGAGTGAGACCCCTCACATTTGAAGAGTTAGCTTCAAAATCCACGGATATAGAAAATTTTATGCAGCTTGTCGCTCGTCGAACAAAAACGATGTTCAACAAGCCTACAGACAAAGGTGGTCAACGTGAAAAATTGCCAATGAAACCCAAGTCTGCACAAGCCATGGAGACAACAGTGGTAAAACCTCAGTTTCAGCCTGGAAGAGCACCTATAGGGAATCAAGCACAGTGAGATGCACATGTTGGTAGGAGGCCAACTCTTAGCGAACGACAAAACAGGGAGTATTCTTTTCCTGTGGAAGAAATTGATGACCTTTTCACTGGTTTAAAGGAGTTGAGTCTAATAGAACTTCCCAGGCCCAAAAGGCCAGAAGAAGCTTCAAAATTAAATGATCCAAATTTCTGTCACTACCATCGCATTTTGGGCCATACACTCAAAGATTG